TGCAATAACAAAGACAACTCAGCCTTAGGTACTTACAGAAGGGAACTGTTTCTGAAAAACTTAGCCAGTTTAAAAGGTTTCGATAGCGTTTCCTAGGAACTTCAAAAAAAACCTGCACCGGTCACGGAGAGTTTTCTATGGTCTAAGTGTTTTCTGTAATTGTTGTTAGACCTAGGAACTTCAAACATGGTAGGGTAGTTGGTCATTACTAGCAGATGACCCCTTTTGATTTTGGGGTCAAGGGGTCAAAGGTCAATGATATATTGATCTTGTATGTAAAAACGGTTTCCGATCAATAACTAAACAATGCTTAGGCCTAGGAACTTCAAACTTGGTATGGTGATTGGTCATGACCAGCAGATGACCCTTGTTGATTTTGGGTTCAAGGGGTCAAAGGTCAAGGTCACATTGACCTTGTTGGTAAAAATGGTTTCCGATCAATAACTAAAGAACGCTAAGGCCTAGGAACATCAAACTTGGTATGGTGAATGGACATGACCAGCAGATGATATACATTGATTTTGGGGTCAACGGATTAAAGGCCAAGGTCACATTGACCTTGTAGGTGAAAACGGTTTCCGATCAAGAACTAAAGAATGCTTAGGCCTGAAACTTCAAACTTGGTATAGTGATTGGTCATGACCAGCAGATGACCCGTATTGATTTTGGGGTCAAGAGATCAAAGGTCAAGGTCACATTGACCTTGTAGGTGAAAACGGTGTCCGATCAATAACTAAAGAAGGCTAAGGCTTAGGAACTTCCAACTTGGTATGGTGATTGGTCGTGACGAGCAGATGACTCCTGTTGATTTTTGGGTCAATGGGTCAAAGGTCAAGGTCACATTGACCTTGTAGGTAAAAACAGTTTCCGATCAATAACTAAAGAACGCTTAGGCCTAGGAATTTCAAACTTAGTATGGTGATTGGTCATGACAAGCAGATGACCCCTATTGATTTTGGGGTCAAGGGGTCAAGGTCAAGGTCACATTGACCTTGTAGGTGAAAACGGTATCCGATCAATAACTAAAGAACGCTTAGGCCTAGGAACTTCGAACTTGGTATGGTGATTGGTCATGACCAGCGGATGACCCCTATTGATTTTGGGGCTAGGGGTTAAAGGTCAAGGACATATTGACCTTGTAGGTCAAAACGGTTGCCGATCAATAACTAAAGAACGCTTAGGCCTAGGAACTTCAAACTTGGTATGGTAATTGATCATGACCAGCAGATGACCACAGATGGTCACATTGACCTTGTACAGTGTAACTCCTGAAACCGAACAATTGTGGGACGAGCCAAAAAGTTCGGAATGTTGAAGTTTCCGGAATTCAGCAGTTTGGGATTATCTGAACAAGTAGAAACATTAAGCATCAATTGTTTCAGTGAGACATGATCGAAGATATATGAAGCTGATTTAATTCATAAAATTGAAGAATTATTGGTCTTTTAAAAAATTTACAACTACCTGTACATTGTATGTTAAATTTCATTATTACCTCCAACTGAATTTGTTTATACTAAATCGTAATGTATAATTATTTAAGTGAATATTTCATGTTGTACCAGCTATTAACTTGTAAATTATTGTTTTTCATCACATTTTTCTTCTCTCTCTTTTTTAATTTTCACACTTGAGTCAAGTGTTTGACATGCTTGACATGTTGAAATTCTAATAGGTGTCAAGATAAATGGTTTCTGCTAATAAGAAGATACTGACAATGGTTTTATTATCTCAATTTTAATATTCATTCCCACCTTTTTCAATTTCCGAATTTGGAAAGTAAATTTGAATTCATATAACCCAAATTTAACAAGGAAAGTCGGCGTTCAAAGAACCAAACCCCATACGACCCATCAACAAGAACCAGCGGCATGGAGCCCAGACGGACCCCAAACAAAAACAGGACAGGGCACAAGAAAGAGCTCGGACAGGCCAACCACCAAACGACAAACAAATTGAAACCGACCGGGAAATCTAAACGCATTGTAAAAACGTTTCATGGGAGGTAGTATGGTTTAACAGAACTTAATTAAACATCTGAGCAATTTAATTAGAAGGTTAAAGAACAAATAACTATCCTGTACATTTCATTTTAGAACTACCGTTTTAAATTTTATTTTAGAATAATATATAACATTCTATTTTTGAATCGCCAATGGGATTCCAATGTTTCAGTTTGAAAATTTTAAATGATCAATGACTATTCTTCTTATATTCAGTTCTTCCCTTTAAATTTTACAGGAATTCAAAGTGTTTTAAGACGGTCTGTGACCGAAAAAGAATTTAAAAGTATAAAGGTTATTTAAATTTTTTTCGGATTTAAAGTCTCTCGTAATTTGCAGAATTTATTAATGAAAGTGAATTTGCTTATGAATAAACCCTATTTTGGATGCGTAAAATGGTGTAAAAATATTTTAAAAAAAACATTTTTAATATTTACTTTCTTTAGGGATTTTGTTTTTCTCTATTTTAATATATTTATTGAATTTATACAATCGTTTAAATGATCTAACTTCTATTTAAAATATGTTATTATCTTATCTCAAAATCGTCTAAAAGTTATTGCCAATATTAAACTTTGCTGATGGTCCTTTGTTGATGGGTCATGTGATGGTTGTGTTCATTGCACACCTCCCTTCCTTGAGGATCTTGCTTTTTTTGGTGTTGTTGAATTAATACATTGTCGAAAAACAAAATTACAATGCCATTACCTTTCTGAATCAAAAATAAACTATTCTGACCATATGATATTTCCAACTTTAGTGATGTAACATTTTTCTGGTGCTTCGGGATCATTGATGCCAGCACTATTAAGTGTTGCGAATTGAGTACAGCCGATGCTAGGGGCGTGTGGAATGTTGCACTTATTCATTATCCCTCATGTACAGACTCAATCAAACCGAGTCTGCAATGTTCATGCAATTTTGTTGTGATTTATGCTTCCGAGGGATCACTGTCTTTCCAGATTATTTTTAAATTTAGGAATTTACACGCATTCTTTAACTTGGGTATACCATACGCCGGTTTTCATGGAATGCCCTTAACGAGCCTCATTGAAGGTTTCATGATACCCGCCCTATGAACACATCTGCGGATGTTTCTTAATTCAAATTTTTGGCCATTTTATGTTAGATGTGGAATTATGTTTAAGCCGGTAATAGGGGGTGTGAATAGAAGCTTGAACGTTCCAATACCATCCATGAATAGACTAATCAAACCGAATCTGCAACAATTTCAATTTTACCGTTTTGGGCTTTCTCTAAGGAATCTATGTCACTCTATTTTAAAAAAGGTTCACTTAATTCATATAAGACGGGAAATCTGTCTTGCGTGTCACATTATGAACGTCCGGGACTTTTTCATTTTCAGAAAAGAAAGCTGATTTTTTTTTCGTTTCTTCTTAAAATTGCTTTCATTTATTTGTTAGAGATACTCGAAAAGCCAAATAAGGTAGACAAAAATAAGCTCGATTTCTAAGTATTATGTCTAACTGTAATGTAACGTTAACGGACTAAAATAATTGAGTTGAGAAACACTGATTGCCAGATAATTGCTCAGTCTGATTTCTTTTTAAGGCCGGCGGGAGTTTACCGGCTGTAAGCATCTCAAAGATCTCATATATAGCAGCTTGGTAATTGAATACAGTAATATAATTTCCCTGCAACGAATAGGATACGTCCAGCAATACCAGTTTTCAAAATTTCTATGCAAACAAATACTTGTTTAATATTTACAAACGGTTATGCATTTGACTGTTTATTTTTAGATAAAGAGTGACGGTTATTGTTTAGTCCAGATATAAATCTTCATAGAGTATAAACAGATAATACATGCAAAATGAATTTTTAACGACGAATATTCTTGTAATGTATTGAACCTAGATTAAAATATACGATGCAAATAAATGTAAGCAGTTGAGTACCAAAGATATAATCTAAAAAAGACCCCCTTACATTCGAAATACTTACAAAATTAGTATAGATATGTTCAGTCGAGGTGAGCGACCTATATTTATAGTAACAAAAAGAAATAAATTTTGATATTGTAAACGACTAAGTAGCTTACCTCAAAGATTAATAACTCCTTCACACACGACTTATGCATGTTGTTACTACATCTTTGTTACCAATGTGCATGACTCGGAATACCATTATAACTTAGTTATGTCCATGCGCTTAGACCAATAGAGGGAGCATCGAGGTGCAATGCTCGGGCGAGGTGGAATTATTTCGTGCTAATGATCCCGGAAAGTGAATAAAATGAGAACAGAGATCAACAAGGCAAAGGCAACGTTCACAGGACGCAGTCCCCGACATAATAAGTAAGTCTAAACGTCAAACGTCACTAATCGCAGAAATTGTGTTGAATTAGTAAAAGGTCATTTGATGAAAAATTGGAAATTACCAGTATCCATACAAACAGGTAAGGTTCCCCGACGATTTATGACCAAAATGTGTTAAACTTTGCTGAAAGACAAAGTAAACAAGGATCCCTTCCCACGACAGATTTCATTTCTTTTTGTGCCGGTAAAATGAGGCAAATTGAACCTAATCATGATTTCGCCATTCAATACATTTATTTCATAACAAACAAACGCCTGTCAACACACCCATTTTGTGACCTCTCTGATATCCAATTTAGAGATAAGAAGTGTTTAACTGTGAAATAATTTGCTCATCAATTGCTGCAAGGTTTATGTAATGAAAATATTGGAAATCATTTAAAATGCTTTTAACATTAAATGTTAGAACAAACAAATTTGAGATCGTTGAAAAAACAAACACCAATTAGTTTCCGTTCCTTAATTATAATGATGAGTGGGAATGTCGACATTTCATAAAAGCTCCAATAATTAAAAGAAATCGATTATAAGATTGTAAATGCTAAAAACTGTGACATTATCTAAAAGATAGTGCACAAAGAACAGTCGCTGTATACGAATGATTTAATTTTCCCGCGGACAAAATTTAAGATTAAAGCTTTTTCCTTAAAGCAAAAGATAAAAAAGCTGTAATGGGATTCATCTACAAATATTGCGTATATTTTCTAACGCTTTACATAACGTCAAACATCGGATATATACATTGCGCATCTATAAATGACACTAATGTATTACTACGTAATTTATTAGATGGATATAATAAAAATGTTCGACCAGTGGAAAACCAAACCAATGCCGTTCATGTAAATGCAACATTTGTACTAGTCACTATTCAAGACCTGGACGAGATTCGTGGAATATTGTCAGTAATGGGAATTATGTCCATGCAATGGTATGATGCAAGTATGGTGTGGGATCCTTTAGCATATGGTGACGTAGAATATGTGATGACGTCATACAAAGAGGTATGGGTACCCGAGTTGATTCTCATTAACCCGGCAGATGAATCAGACACTCTTGGAAAGAAGTGGCAGCGAGTTTTCTTTAATTATTTCGGATTTGCTTCATGGTGGCCAGTTGATCTAATTAAAAGCACATGCACATTAGATGTGTACAGATATCCTTTTGACACACAAGAGTGTGGCCTCTCATTTTCTGCATGGGGATACTTTTCTGGTCAAGTTAAACTGAATCCCTCGAGTAATGAAATCGACTTGTCGTATTACATAGAAAGTTTTACATGGACGTTAGCAAAATCTCAAGTGAGATCATCCGCTGATGGTACGGCATTAGAATTTATTCTACATTTAAAGAGGAAACCAGACTTTGTGATTGTAAACGTTCTTCTACCATTAACATTCCTCAGCTTACTGAATGCACTTGTGTTCCTTCTTTTACCAGAATCTGGGGAGAGAATATCTTACTGTATAACTGTGTTGTTATCAATAGCTGTATTTATGACCATTGTTAGTGACACACTGCCAAAAAGTTCAGAGCCTGTACCAGTTATTTCATACAAGTTGATGGTTGACATGATAACTAGTGCCCTCATGACTCTCGTTACTATACTTAATCTGCGTGTATATTATAGGAATGACGGTCAGAATGTTCCTAACTGGTTAAAACAGCTTTACATATTTGTGACCTGTAAACGTGCAAAAAATGGTATTCATCGCAATTCGACTGACGTGGAGAAAATAAAGCCTGACCGGAAGCTATCGATGTTCGACAACAATAAGAAGACACTTATGTGGAAAAGATCAAACGATGATGAATCAAACAACTCACAAACACTTTTTAACCGTAAAATGTCCGCTATTTCTGTATTTAATGTGGAGGAAAATGTTCACGAGCCAGTCGAGAACACGTTAGTCAGGATGATGTCAGAGGCAGAAGAAAACTCGTTTGACCATGTTGACGTGTCTTGGAAAAATATCAGTAACATGATCGACGGAATCGCATTCGTTTTCTTCACATTAATGTCTGTGTGTAGTTTTATTGTTTTCTTTGCAATAACATTTTAAACAATAATGAACACATATTTTTTCACGAATTGACTTCCCTTGATAAATAAAGATAAACATATTTTGAACACGATTCATTTATTTGCGATATTTGATTTTTTTTTATTATTTTTTTTTTTTAATTTTTTTTTTTTGTTTTTTTTTTTATATTTGATTTGGGAAAATTACTTCAGTGCAGTGAAAAGAGCATTTCTGCAAGTAATAAGTGCTCGCACTTTTTTTTCTCGGCAAACTTGTGTTTTACCAAATCAGTGTACGAAGGTTAGGGTTAGGCGTGATAAGAGATGGGAATCTTATGTATATCATTTACTATTTAAATTAAAGAAAATACTATGTTTTGTATGAGTTTTTTTTCAGAATTTAAACAAGGATACGTATAAAAGTGCGAACTAGCATTACGTGTTGTTTTGTTGTTGTTTTTTTTTTTTTGTTGTTTTTTTTGTTTTTTTATTACTTGTCGATCTTGTTTTTCATATTTTGTGCCGAAATTTATACTTTGTATAGCATGTCAAAGTAGTAATTTCTTGTTTGTAAAGAAAGTTTTGTATCTTATTACATGCTTTGTTACATACCGGTAGCATATCATGATGTGTATAGCGTGTCATATTTTGAATTCGCAATTGAAAAATTAGCTCCGCATTTCCTTTCACATAAATATTTTATGATTACGTATACCACGCATGACTTTTTGAATATGGGAAAAAACTGTTTATATAAATTGATTAATTACTGTTGTAAATAGTTTAAACCTGCAAGCTATGTAATATTTATTTCAATGAATATTATGTATAATTGTATATAATATCTATGTGCTCACTGCTTGTATTTTGTATCGTGTAAAAATGTATTAGATAGAATTTTATTTTAAAAACTCGCTTATAATTTACAATGTCGTAGTTATTAAATATGAAAAGCAGGATCAAAAAGGAAGGGCGGCATTCAATGAACGTATCCCTTATCACAGAACCACTGGCAAGGAACCCAGCAGGACACCAAATAGGACAGGTCACATGGGTAAAAACAATATGAAAACAGGAAATCATAGAATTCATTATCAAAATGTAAGCTAGTTGCATTCTGTTAAATATATTTAAGACCAATGGTTGTCTGGTTGACATCAAAATGACAACAATGGGTTTATCGAAAATTTAGATATTAAGTGTGTTATATTTATATATCATTGATAAGCAGGCAAACTTTTTTATTTTATTAATTTGAGATACTTTTTTTTCTATTTCATTTTTTTTCTGTTTTCGAAATTATTTCATATGTTTATTTCGAATTGAGCCAGCAAAGACATCAATAGAATTAAAATATGTTGTGTTAATTTTCAAAGTTTGTTTCTTCATTTTGAGACTACATCTAAAATAACCTTGATAATTCAGGATCATGTCATGCAATGAAATAATAATAACACTCTCCTGTGTTCCCTTTGTAATAGTTCTACTAATTGGTCGTCTTGCTGTGTATGAAACAGACGAGCAAATAGATGGTCGCTTTTGGTGAATGTAATCTAGCGTGATTTATTACTTTTATGCATTGACCGATTTGCCTGACAAACGCCATAACAAGAAGAACGTATTGTCGATATTTAGTCTTTGATGGTGTATGCTACGTGATATTTGTACGAACCTTTAGCCTGCTTATCACCTTATCTAAGTGACTATACTGTGTAAAATGTTAAAATTTGAAATATATTTTGTAAGTGATAGATGATCTACATAAAACTAATATTGAAGTTCGGTAAATTAATTAAACATCAAATAAAGGAATACCATATTTATAAAATGGATTCCTTTTATACATATGTAAGGAAATGGGCATAGGTTGTCATTTTTGTGGAATGAATATGGTATGATTTATTACTTTATGCTTTGATCAATAGTTCTTTCGTAGCAGAAATACTATAACAAAAATCACAAATTGCCAATTTCTTGTCAATTATTGTGTATTCTGATGGCTTATCAATGCGGTGTGACTTTTCTACGACCTCGTTGCTTGCTTGTCATTCATTCAGATATTTGAATATACATGTACAGTTGTAGTGTACATATCCTACAGAATGTAGTCCTATCGTCTCCGCTTATAGCCACACTACATTACGTATTTCAAAACAATTTTTAAAGCCTTAAATAGCATTGATATGTGACACTATTGTTAATCAAATTGTTTATCGACAAACTTTCGTTTATCTTTTGCACCAAGAAGAAACACACCCTTCTGAGTTGGGGAAAATTTTACTATTATCATACATAATTACACAAGGCACTTTGATACACTTCTGAAAACAAACTTAAATCAATACACAATGTAAACCGTCATAACAATAATCAAGATTCTAAAAAAATTAGAACAAAGATCAACAAGGCAAAGGCAAAACGTTCACAGGACGCAGCCCCAACACAGTCCAGCCACAACCGCAGTTGGGTTTCGTAATTATCTATTTCAATGTAATAGTTTTAGTTTTCTTTATATCACTTTTGATATGTTTATGCTCTTAATTTCACTATAATAACCCAGATAACTAAAGCTATATTTCTAAATAACACTTGTAAACCACTGTATGATCAATATAGTCACAAATATAGTTACACAAAAAGCTGGTATATTTACAACACCAACACGTAAACAATAGCATCATTTAATAAAAAGGTACATCAAATGCATAAGAAATCAAGTTTTGTATTGTGTTAATGTATTTAGTATGAATCATCCAACATTTACAGTTTACTTATGAAACTTGAAAGCTCGCGAAATTGTGTGACAATTTTACATTATTGGATTTTACGACAAATATCAAACATTTACCTGGTAACGAACTTTATTAAAAAAAATAATTTACTATAATACTGGTCAAAATTACAACAAAGTCATTTCCTAACTTCTAACAAGGTAAAACAATGTAGTAGAACTTCTTTTCCTCATACGCAGATTCTCTGTAAGCAATAACGGTACATTTCCAGAGTGCTTTATTTACAAGTTATTCCGCCAGGAACTGTTCAATTTAAATCTTTTTTCTTTTTTTCTTAAATTTTTATCAAATATTTCTTAATCGGGATGCGTACTAATGCATTAACAAAATACTATCAAAATATGTGAGCAGGTAACATAGTTATTTATGTTTAACTTAAGTTCATTCGTTTCAACATTTTGATAAACATTTTTTTATAGAATCAATTGACTCTAATATTTAAATCATTAAATGCTTCCTTCATTAATTGAGATATTAACAGTATATTCACGAAATAGCAAAGTGACATTAGTTGCATGTTTTAGCAAGATAAATTTTGCACAGTTTTATTACTAAGCGTTCATTATGTCAGATCTTTTAAGCAAATGTTATTATTGTGAGTAGTAGATATGTCAATATTTGGTCTACAATTTTATATAGGAAAATAAAGTTGTCACATATAACAAATCTGATTTGATTTCTATACGACCTTGCTACTCGGCAATCATATTTTCTTAGACGTTTCAGTCTTTGATACATTATTCATTGTCAAAGGTATTATTACCGAACTCTTAATCACAGCTGTAAAAATGTTTTGGTGAATAATTACTCTAATATTCGGCATCATAAATATAAATTTCACCAATTTTATATTTACTACTTGAATTCTGTTTACGTCGGTGCAAAGAAACGTTGATAGGAAGGTTTCTTGCATTTATCGCTGCCGGTTATGAAAAGACGTAATAAAGGTAAGTCTATAGCATGTCTCAATTCAGTCCTGATTCACAATTGTCAATGTTTCCTATTTGTGAATATGAAGCTTAGTTTAATGATTTGTAACATAATGGTGACCATTATTGTTGTTGTTGGCTATAGACTTAAAACAAACAAAATGATTAAGAAATTAATACATATTCAACTTATTAATGATGAAAAAAATATTCTCTATTATTTTTATATTCTAAATATATGTCATATTCGTTTTAATTTGTTCATGTTTTAAATCTATCGCGCGTGGTAAACTAGTAAGTTTATTTATTTCACTTTATTAATATCATGCAAAACACACAGTTTTTTTAAATATGTATAATATATACGTTTGTATGTAACATTAAAATATGAACATACCCACACTGCACATTTATTGTTTTCATGTTGTTTTTTTTGTAAAATGAAATTGATATTATGTTGTTTGGTGAGACCTATATCATCCTTTTAAATGCTTAAACTGGGATAGATATGATTTAATAACTGAATATCGCTAAAAACACATTTTTCAGTCGTGATGTTACATACAAAAATTAATCTGAACTAACAGAATATATTCAGATGAATAAATCATTTTCAGATTTGCCTTTGGTAATAATTCAAAGTCAATAAAAAATTCAGGAACAATACTAATTGCTTGGTAATTTATCAATACTATCGATTATGAGCAAATGGAAATATAAAACTTGTTGCAATAGTTCAGATAGTTGATCGTCTCAATGTAACAACCTTCCTTAATGTTCTTGCTTAATGATATATCATTTACCTTTAGATTACAAACGATTGTATAAAGCATAATACACAGATGATCGGTAATCTTAAAACTGTAACTGGATATCTTTTTTTAAAAAGAAACGATATAAGAACAACATCGTTATACATGGGTACTTAATTATTATATCGAATATGTTTTCTACGCTTACAAAATAACTTAAATAATCTTGCTTCATATTTGGTTTAAACATATTTTATTCAGAGCATTTGTACATGTGTTAATTAGAAAACACAATAATTATATATTTTTGTTTCATATTTTAGTTTTTAATGTATAATAAATTGCATTGTAATTCTTCCTATTGTATGAAATTGTTCTTCGTTTAAAGCAATATATTATGTCATAAAAGCCATATGTAGAGAAGAGACAAAAGATCTCTTATTGTTGGTTGCTGTTGTAACTTATTATTTTTTTACTTTAGAAATACTAAACAATATATTCGGAACCGATATAAAAGAACGTGCATTTATTCAACTTAAACTGACTAGACAACCTTTTCCTTAAAAT